CTCTAGCGATCAAGAATGGTAGAACTAAGTGAGATCACACAGCCGATATGGATTTCTCTACAGCAGTGACTACTTTACAGACAACATTCTAGGTACTCGTAAACTATAATTAACTTACCCAAGCATATGTAAAACTGAGATCTTTCCAGATTGCCTTGAAAATTTAAAGTATACAGGCACAGATTAACACATCTGGAGGCTTGAGAAGCTGGCAAGGAGAATGGCGTCAGTTAGACATTTCAGGCGTTGGTACAAAAGAAGTTCCTTGTATACTGGGGCAAGGAGTAAATCGGTTTCCAAGAAACCTCAATTAACTCCCTAAATATATCCCCAAAAGAAATACATTTAAAAGTGGAGTTTAGTTAAAGTAACCAGAAAAGGCAGACATAATAATGTTGTCCAATACAGGCCTATATATATAGATATAAGGGACTATATATTTCTGGGCGAGTCCAAGTTTGAATTTTGTGCAGATTACAGGTAAGACAGGTTATCAGCCTTACAAACCGATGTGTAATGACTATCATTTCACGACAACCTCTCATTTTTTTTTTCTATATCTGATATTTGTGCTTGTCGCTACTTTTCCTTCTGCCTTTCTATGCCCCAATAGAACATAGGCCCTCAATCAACTCACCCCAAGTCTTTATATCCTTCGCTATTACATGGAGCTCTCCCCATGTCCCCCATATTTTTCTAATTTAATTCTCTAGCTCTCTTCTTTGTTTTTTTTTTTTGGGCCTACCTTTATTCCTATGCCCATGTGGGTTCCAATGCAAAGACATTCTAGTTATGTTGTTCTCCGGTTTTCTCAATGTGTGTCCTATCCAACGCCAGGGTCTGTTTCTCACTGGAGCTTGCTTAGTTCTCTCCCAAAGTTCTACATTAGTTATTCTATCATACCCTTTAATTCCCTCTATTCTGCGCAGGCGCCGGTTAATGAATGTCTGCAATTTACTAGTAATTGCCTTGGTTGTTCTCCATGTTTCCGCCCCATACAAAAGTATCGATTTGACCTTGGAATTAAAAATTTTAAGTTTAGTATATATTTTAATTACTTTTGGTTATTTAATATTGCATAGTTTATGTAAGATGGTATGGCTATCTGTTTAATAATTAGTAAGTAAATTTTACCCCACCAGGACAACACACAGATCGATAAACACCCGCTGACACAAAGTACCATCACGCGGATGAGGATCACCGATGGAGAGGTCCCGGAACCCTGTTCAGCCGTTATGTTATATAAAGGCCTCCCGTAATAGTCAGGTCAAGGCTTTATTTCTGGTAAATTCCCTGGTGACAACTGCCACAGAGAGCCACGCTAAATAAATATAATGGTCATAAAACGTGAAAGACCATGTAGAAAACAGAAAAAGAGATTTCATCATCATCATCAGGTGCCTTGCTGACTGGCGTGGGTGATCGTGCCTCTCCACAATCCGCGATCTCCTGCAGCATGTATCAGTTCGTGTGCTGACACACTTCCATGTCATGCAACAAGACTGTCAAGATTCTTCTCTCGTTGTCTTCCTCTATCCCTCCTTCCACAGATCTTTCCAGTGGTCACAACATGTTTCATTTTCCCCTCTTCTCATAACATAACCGATTAATGATGACTGTCTCCTTCTGATATCTGTGATACATTTAGACCACTCAGTAATCTGGTCATCTTAGTTCAGCTTCATAGCAAACCGGTCATCCCATAGTTGCTCCGCTCCTGTGCCAACGAAAAACACACAGAACGTCCATAACTGTCCCTGGTAGAAAAATTGACACAGACTGCAGTCTTAGCATGTCCACTAGCATACACACGCATTAAACGCACAGGGCAACCATCAAAAGTGCTGACACAAGCAGTCCGACATTAGAAATGCAGCTCTTCGTCAATTACAGAAGCAGTTAAAAACTGATCAACAGTTTCACACACGATCAGTTTGAATCACACAAGGCTCCACCAATTTTGTGGAAGCAGGCCATGCGTCATTTTCTGAAACTGCAGTTCGCAACACCACGTTGGTCACAGTAAAAAAATTCAAATGGAAACGGCACCTCACAGTATCGCACCACGCACTCAACTCAGTAGCTTGGCGACTAAACTATTTCCTTCAGTCAACAAATGGAGGAAAATGCAACGGCCGCCGTTTGTCAGATACACAAATTTGCCTTGACTAAAAACCGTGACCGTACTGGGCATTTAGGGTTAGACCTATATTCTATAGATTAAATGGCACTCGCTGTGTGATAGGTTCAGCACGACACTGGCCGCCTTTACTTCCCAGGACTTAACCTGATACCCATTTAAAGCTGGGTAGACCTGTGAGCCAAAATCATGTATGAAAAAAAATGTTGAACCCACGACCTGGTCCCCCCCCCCCCCCCTACTAAAACCTGTGCCCCCACATAGGATCAACACATAAGTGCCATTAACAATCTATTTACAGAATAACATCAAAGGTGCTGTACATCTACAATGTTTAAAAAATATAGCCACAATTAACGAGGCCGAATCTTCATCTGACGGTCATCATGGAAGATGAGGATCTCTTCGATGACACTTTTGCTTCTGAGCTGCCTTTGTCATCAGTAGGTGGGAAAAGTCAAGATAACACAACAAAGTTTTCAAAAGTAAATCTATCCGCTCTGGAGTCTCTCACGTTGCCCAGATGTACTGGCTGTCAGCGGCAATTTCCGTTCCCCGTGAATTTGCCTGAAAATCATGCGGTCATTTCGCTGGAGGTAAGGATACTACTACTGCTGCTGCTGCTGCTACTACTACTGCTACTGCTGCTGTTGCTACTACTACTACCACCACCACAACTACTATTACAACAACAACAACTACTACGACTACTACTACTTCTCCTCTTCCCCCTCCTTCTTCTTCTTTGCTGTCGACTGTAAGCTCCAGCGGAAAGTCCTGGTTGTTCATCCATTTGGACTTTGACGTTGTGCCGTCGTCTCACTGGCTTTTTTTGTTTGCAGCTGGCTCTTTCTTGCCGCACTCCAATGGATGCACTCCAATTTCGAAGGAAGCTCCCAATTAGTTGACTCTTACGACATGCTTGTTAGAGAGGCAGTAGGTCTATTCCCCCCCCCCCCACAACCCCCCAAAAAGAGCTTAGGAACCCAGATGGAAAATATTAATCTTTCCAAAATGTGTGTCGAGAAATAGTGTGAAAGTGTTTCATGTATGCGAAAAGCGTTAAACAGATTAATCGGCGCACAGTAGTTAACTTTAACCTCTGCTTTGCCAGTAGACTGAACTACTGTGTCAGAAATTATGTTTTGTCTAAATAGAATATTGCCAAAATGAAAAGTTTGGAAAACTCTACTTTACAGGATGTACGTAAATAAACAGATGGGAGGCCCTTGAGGCAGTAGTAGAAACATTGTTTATAATAAACAAACAGACCGTGTATTGATTGGCACTCATAGAAAGAAGTAGAAAGATAGAAAGAGACACAACTCTGGTCCGGACAGTTAATCGAGGTTATACTATATTTTTGTTTAAAAATTGTGTCACCATCACGACAAGTTTGGAAAAGTTCTGCTCTGTATGTTGTAGAACTGCGTCCGTCTGTGTGTTCTTCTGTCAGCATGTTGCCTGTGTGAGCGCGCGTGTGTAAGTGTATATACTAATTACTATCTAAACTTGTTTCAGCGGCGCCGTCACGAAGAAAACATTTACACATATTATGAAAAGGGGGCGGGGGAATGTGTGTGGCGGGGTGAGAGAAGGCTAAACCACCTGACAAATTGTTCTGACACAAAATTGTATTAATTAAATCAATCACCACTTTTGCGGTGTAGGCAAACCCACACAGTGATTGTCTTATTTCTTCACTCTCGGTATAATTTGTTTCGTTCTCTCACAAAGCCCACATATGAATGAATAATTTCAACCCCATGGGGACAGCACAAAGAGCGATAAATACCCGGTGACACAAAGTGCCACCATTCAGATGAGAATCACTAGGGCGCAAGTCCCAGAAACCCAGTTAAACCATTAGGTTATATTAGGGCCCCTGACAGCAGCCATAATAGTGCTTCTTCATAAAGAAAAGGTGCGTCCCACAGTGGAACGACAACGTAGGTTTTTTTTCAAAGCCCACATATAAATTTCTATTTACTTCCTCTCAACTAGGAGTCCCAGGCCGTAGATCGTACACGCATGGCGCCGCCCCCACAAGGGACAAGGTCAGGCACTGTAAAAAGTTGGAACGGGTCCGTGTTTGCGGCAGGCGTCAAGTCGACGAGATCAGGACAGGTAGGGTCCACGGCTAGCAACAAAAGTAACCTCTCCGTGAACAACCACAGCTCCTCGACCATGACCGATGATATTCCCATGTTTCCCAAGGCGAAATCCATGTTTCTTCACAGCGGGAATATCATCAATTGGAATCGTTTGAAAAGGAAACCGAATCAGACGTCGACAGAAGAGGTAGGCAGGTTTAATAATGAAAAAAAAAAAGTTTATGTTACTCACAAATCTGTTCTCGCCTTCTCTCTAGTAACTGTATGCACCAGTGCTGTTTATTTTGATGAAGTCATCGTGACGATTCAAAATCAATTCAGTAAGTTTCGGTGTACCTCCTGGGCTGGAGCGAATATTGTATTGAGGATTATGAATCAGCAGACCGCTTTTCATCCAGTATTGTATTATGTATATATATGTATATGTAAGAATTGAATGATGAGGAATATCACAGCACTCCGGACAGAAAAAGAGGTGCTCCGATCTCCTCCTGAGTAGCCCCATTAGCGCAGAATGACTTTTTACACCAGTTCTGTGACGAATTATAAGATGTCTTGTGCCCTTCGTGAAATGTTCATGTCCCGCTGCTCCAGGTTGCGCTCCTATATCCACGAGCCTGGACACGAACACTGAGTCCTGCTTGCTGTTAACTATTATAATCTTCTTGAATTCGGCTATCTTCAGAATAATGGTCCCAAATTATCGAGGCAGAAAATATAGCCTAACAGAGCCTCAGTCACTGTGTTACTCCATACATCCAGCTGTTTAAATAACCAACTCTATTCCAGATGTGACTTAAGCCCCTCATGTCATATAGTTTTATCATTAAACCTTTAAGGCCAAAGCAGTAAATAACTTAAAGTATTTTTTGAGCCAAAAACTTTAACTCTTTGAGTCCCAGGAAACGCATCATACGTTCATAGGTTTTTACCTAGTTAAAAATTTCAAAGCAGATGGACATCAAAAAGAGAAGGCGGCAAGGCCACTGTCCTTCTTCTCTTTCTCCCATTTCATTGTGGGGGGGGGGGGGGGGGAGGGGGGGGATGTAAGGATCTTTTTGGCAGATGGCAAACCATCTTATTTGTTGCCTTTAATTAACTGTACCACCAAATTTAGTCTTAGTTTTCTTCTTTTTCGCATTCACAGCTGTAAACTCTGGCAGGAAGTTCTGGTTGTTTACCCATTACCAGACTTTAGCCTTGTCCCAGAAGCTAAGTATTGCGTGCACATCCGTTTTTACAGATCTGGCTTATTTGTGTGCAGACTGTTGGTTTCATGACTCTCAGGAAGGTGCACTTTGACTTTGAAGAAAACTCCACTAATCAGTCAGCTTGCACGACATGCTTGTTAAGGAGACAGTGTGTATTTTCCCCTTCCCCCAACTCTCAGAATAGGGCCCCAAAACCCACACAGGGAATTTCAGTGTCTCTTGAGTGATTCTTTGTATGCTGCTCATGAAACTCATTCATATGAAGCTACGTAATATGTGCTTGCCATTTTACTCTTAGTGGATGACCAGCCACTGTGTCCAGAGAGAGAGAGAGAGAGAGAGAGAGAGATTTCACCATACGGGATAAAAGATGGAGCAATGGAGTTGATCAAATAATAAATTGCTAAAGTAATGTCTTCTACTAAACAGCATTTAAAGTCAGTGGTTAAGCACCAGCAAAGAAATCCAAAGTCACAATTTTGAGAGCATGCATCTTCACTGTAGCAATGAACGGATATAGGTTATCAACTATCTTAGAGTCATTAAGAAAGAAAACAGGGGCTCTGGGCTGAACTACTATAGAAAGATTCAGAATACAATGGACAGAGAAGAGGAGAAATACTGACATCCTAAAAGATCTGAACATCAAGGAAGATTGGCTATTAAACAGCATTTTGCCCCGTAAGCTGAAATATTTTGGCCATATCAAGCGACACGACAGATTGAAACAACAAAACAACAGAAGACATGGTGCTAGGAAAGCGAGCCATGGGCCAACCAATGTGATGATGAGGAGAGAAAATGAGTGACACCTTGGGTAGGAAAGCGCATGAGGTGGGAGAGGTGACAAGAGACCAAGTTTATTTTAGGCAGACTCTAAGAAGAAGAGAAAAGAGTATCAGTGGTTGAAGTAATTAATAAATAATTGATTTGTTTAGGTCTGTGACTGCATTGGGAACACTCTAGCATCTTACCTGGAAACACAAGATAAGACAGAGTTGCAGTATGTTACTGAGATATACAAAGTCAACTCTGAAAATGTGCAGAAGATTGATGACACTGAACGAGAGGAGGTGAAAATCACAGGTAAACTTCTCACACTAATATTCATTCTCTTCTTCTTCAGATCCTATACTGCTTTTCAGTATCAGATTTTGAAGAGGCATTGGGTGCAAGCCTTTGTATGTGCAGTCTAGATGCTGGTATTCACAGCCTTGGATATTCCCTCTCCATCACTTGCAATGTTGATCTCTAGCTCTGCTTCCATTGTAATTGTTGCTGTCATTTTCTAAAACTTACTATTGTACAGTAGTGTGGCGTCCGTGGCTCGTAATTCTAACATACTGCGATTGAAACCCGCTGCTGGCTGTGTGGATTTCTATTATTGTATGAGGTGTCGCAGGTCGACCCAGCTTAAAATGGGCACCTGTGTGGCTGTCCTGAGAAAGTAAAGAGGGCCGGCGTAATGCTGACCACATTATCCACCTAGTGCCAATGGCCTGTAAAAATATGGGTGCCCTTCCCATATGCCCGATACACCTAAAGGCATGAAAAGGGATCTTTACTTTACTTACTGTTGTACAGTATTATTCCCAAAATACTGCTGTTGTCTTAGTTTTTGTCTTCAAACTTACTCTTTGAGTCCCAGTGTGTTTAGCAACAGAGGCCCAAGGGCTAGTAAAGAGAGATGTAAAATTGGTTTGTTCACTGAGCTTCTAGGTATGAAACTATGAATGTATGTTGCGTTCCTTGGGATTGAAAGAGCCAAGTCCTTTTGACTTCCTTCTGATACATGGTTCTTTAGTGTTAGATTAGCAGAGAAGTTAATACGCCAGCCTCACTCCAGCTGATGCAGTCCTTTTCTAAGCTCAAATGACTTGAATACCAGAATATTTTACTCAATAGTTAGGACTCAGTCTCTAGAGGTCTAGTATAGTCTGTAATTTAAAATTTGCAATTTACTATTGTGTACGAAGCTTTTTTCATAAGAGTATAACATAATATAATAATTATATTTGTTGCACGCTTTTAGTTATTTATGTAACACTTAGCATAGAAATTATTTAGTAAAATAGAGCTTTAGTCACATTTGTACAAGTCGTTTTCTACCCTTTATTCTCCATTAGAGAATAGGCCCTCAACTAACTCACGCCAAGTCAACCTATCCTTTATTGTTGCTTGCGGTTCATTTCATGCCATCTGAAGGTCCCTGTCTAGCTTCCTTCTCGACGTGTTCTTTGGTCTGCCCTTATTTCTGTGACCCTGAGGGTTCAGGTATAGTCATTCTAGTTTAATTGTTCTATTGTTTTCTCACAGGGTTTCCTATCCAGTATCAGCTTCTTTTCTTCACCTCTTGATTCACTGGAATTTGTTTAAATCTCTTCTGAAGCTGCACATTAGTATAGTTTAGGCATAATTATGTTTATACAGTATGGCTTAAATAATATTTATACAACATAGATTAGGTAATATGTGTACGTGGGAAAACTAACCTGCAGCAAATAAATATATGTCATGTTTGTTTCTTTAAACTGTTTAGTGAAGGTGTTTGTATGTTTGCCACTGCCAACCAGTGTGATCAGTGAGACAGTCAACAAAGGTAAGATAACAGAAACATAATCTATTATTATCTTTTGCTATGATTATTTAAATGAAATTGTGGTATGGGGCACTACAGCAGAAAATAACTACATGTGAAATGCGCTATCTCTGCAAGGTCACTAACAACACAAGAAGAGACAGGGTTGCAAATGCCAGCATTAGAGAGAAAGTCAGAATAAGACCATGTCCGGATTATATTGACAGACAAAGAATGAAATGGTTCGGCCATCTAGAGGGAATGCAGCCAGATCAAACTGCATATGAGAATTTTTACAACAGAACATCTTGGAGGAAGGCGAGAGGAAGACCAGGAAAGAAATGGATAAATGATGGAGCAGAAACCTGCAAAAAGATGAACAAATCCATCACCCATGCCACCCGAGAAGTGCAAGACAAATACAGAAGACACGACACTGGGCTACAACCGGGTATTAGTGAGACGACAAAAGAAGAAGAAGAAGAGCTTTAGCTACCAAGGATATCAAAACAGGCATCTGAGTTTAAATATCTTTAAACAACATTAACCGAAGATGGTAAAGTGGATGAAGAAACCAACTTCTGATGCAGTAAAGCAAATCAAATATTGCGACAGCTGGCTTTCCTCTTACAGCTCAAGACAATCCCAGTCAGCACAAAGAAACATTATTTCATACAAAGCAACCTGGTACTGCTAGTGCCAGACATGATCACTCACAAAATCAGAAAAGAGAATTATTCACCATGGAAGTAAGATGTATGAGAAGGGCTGCAGGAGTGACCAGAAGAGTTCAAATCATGAATGAAGTCATAGGAGAAAAAGTCAATACAGAATCAGTTCTAAATTGCAGATAATATCAGAGAAACTCTACAGTAGTACATACAGTGTGACCATGGTCCAGGCGGCCAGAAGAGCAAGAAGCGGAATTTTAAATATCCCAGCCAGAAAAGCAAGAAGCAGAATTTTATATATGTCCCTGCCAGAAAAGCAAGAAGCAGAATTTTAAATCTCCCTGCCAGAAAAGCAAGAAGCAGAATTGTATATGTCCCTGCCAGAAAGGCAAGAAGTAGAATTTTAAATCTCCCTGCCAGAAAAGCAAGGAGCAGAATTGTATATATGTCCCTGCCAGAAAGGCAAGAAGCAGAATTCTAAATCTCCCTGCCAGAAAAGCAAGAAGCAGAATTGTATATATGTCCTTGCCAGAAAGGCAAGAAGCAGAATTTTAAATCTCCCTGCCAGAAAAGCAAGAAGCAGAATTGTATATATGTCCCTGCCAGAAAGGCAAGAAGCAGAATTTTAAATCTCCCTGCCAGAAAAGCAAGGAGCAGATTTGTATATATGTCCCTGCCAGAAAGGCAAGAAGCAGAATTCTAAATCTCCCTGCCAGAAAAGCAAGGAGCAGAATTTTATATGTCCCTGCCAGAAAGGCAAGAAGCAGAATTCTAAATCTCCCTGCCAGAAAAGCAAGGAGCAGAATTTTATATATGTCCCTGCCAGAAAAGCAAGGAGCAGAATTTTATATATGTCCCTGCCAGAAAAGCAAGGAGCAGAATTTTATATATGTCCCTGCCAGAAAGACAAGAAGCAGAATTTTAAATCTCCCTGCCAGAAAAGCAAGGAGCAGAAATTTTGGATATGTCCCTGCCAGAAAAGCAAGAAGCAGAATTTTAAATCTCCCTGCCAGAAAAACAAGAAGCAGAATTTTGTATATGTCCCTGCCAGAAAAACAAGAAGCAGAATTTTGTATATGTCCCTCAAAACCCAGAGCGGTAACAGGGCAAGAAGAATACATCAGTAAAATCACAACCATTATCAGTGTTGGTTTCATCACCACAACCATTCTTAGTGCCTTTATAACCCCAAAAAATCACTGAACTCCCTCTCTGATTCTTAACGGAGACATAAACTACTGATTATCTGCGTTTTATCAACCTGCCACCAGTTTATATTTGCAAGTAAGCTCCCTCCGTGCTCAATCCCATGTTTTGCTCTAGAATGATGGGCTGGTGAAATTCCATACAAATGCATATAAAATCCCCCTGGATATATTTATAAAAATATCTTGCTTATTTCTAAATACATATCCTTTCTTTTCTTCGCTTATCGTGCAAATGTCAGAAGTGCATTAATGTTCCTGCTGGAACTTCACTTTCCATAGACACCTGGTTTTCCTGCACTCTCCAAAACATTTCTCTACAAACCACACACTTGTCGATTTTTTCCTTGGCTTGCTAGATCAGCAGTCAATTATAATGTAGTTTCTTCTTACCTTCATCATGCCCAGTTTTCAGCAGTTCAATCTGTTTGAGTTTACTACACTCTCACTTATCATTTCTTGACTCTTCAGCTTTCGATCGCATACAAGACAATTTGTTCTGCTTAGCCATTGGCTGTTTCAAATATATCTTTTACTTGGGCTCTTCCGCCAAGCTAATAAGTGGAGAACCTAAATAATATCTCAGGCACATATTTCAATTATAGTTTTTTTTTTCTTCAAATTCTTTTTCTCCTATCTAGTGGACAATCTTTCTTGCAGATTATCAAGTGCTGGGGTCAGATTTGTTTCATGACAGTCGCACATGGCTCATAGTCTGGTCCTCTGTTCTGGTCATATGATGCGTAGTCCTTTCGATATTAGCGTTTGTCTTATATCTCATATCTTTTTTGTTTTGATCTGAACATCCGGAAATGTCCCTAGGTGTAATGTACTCTAGACCATTGTTTGGAATGAACTTGTTAATTCCTGTATGGTTTATCTAGAATTCCTAGAATATAAACCAGATCTATAGAACCTGTGTATTTATATGCAGTTTATACATGGACAGCCACAGCGAGCCACACTAAAACGTTACAACGGGTATAGAGCGAGTGGAAGACCTCGGAAAAGATGGAGTGATGGCATTAAGAACAGCCTTACAAAAATGAACATCAGTCTTAATAGTGCTCTTGTCAGAGCTCATCAACGAACATTACATCTCCCCCCGACACTTCGATGAGGTAAAAGGTGGAAGAGAAGAAGAAGAAGAAGATACATGGACAATGAGCAGCCAAGCTGAAAAACATTTACTTGTGACAGAGATGTGGTTTTAAAGAAGAATGCAAAGAATATAATGAAAGGGTACAAATGTATCAGAACAATAAAACATAGTCAGTGTCTTTTGGAAATATTATGAGAAGAAATGGACTTGAGAACTTGGTGACAACTGGCAAGATTGATGGACAGAGAGCAAGAGGAAGGCAAAGAGATAAATACCTGAATGGCCTGGCCACAAGGATGAGGTGAGACAAAAACATTGACCTGATCCATGATTCTGGAAATTGTGTGAGATGACAAAACATGGCTGCCTATGCTTACCGGCACAGCACAGGATGATGATGTTGAGCATCATTAGCCCAGTGCGCCACTTGCTTAAATAAAAAAATATAAAAAACGATATTTTACTTTTGCTGTTGTACCGATGTTACAAAGAACCTGTTCTACTGTATGGCAGTAATCTAAATCTTGGAATGTGAGCGAACAAATAAGGAAGAATTTGGAAGCAACAGAGATGTGGTTTCTGAGACGAATGTTGCGAATACCTTGGACGGCTAGAGTAACTAACAACCATTGCTTGAAAGAGGCTAATGAAAGTAGATCTCTATATACAACATTAAGAAAGAGACAAACACTGTTCTTTGGCCACATAATGAGAAAAGAGACATTGGAGAACATCGTGACAACTGGAAAGATTAGTGGAAAAAGAGGTAGAGGCAGGCCAAGAGAGATGATGCTGGATGTGCTGAAATGATGGCATGGAGGGATATCATCAAGAGAGCTTTTCCAGGCAACTCATGAGTACATACGCCAGTTGGCAAGGTACATGATGATGATGATGATGTTGTACCCGTTGCCAGTAAGTTACCAGGACTCCTAATGGAAGCAGTATGAGTAAGGAAAGGAGCAATTTTTTACACCACTGTCACATTGAACATGTGACTAGACCAGTGATGTCACGGGTCTGTGCGGCTATGAGATGGTGGTGTGAGTAAAAATTAAAGGTCCTTTTTCCACGCCTTTAGGCATATTGGGAATATAGGGCTAGACCTATATTCTTATAGACCAATCAGCACTTGGTGGGTGATGTGATCAGCATCACGCCGGCCGTCTTTACTGCACCTGGTACCCCCTCAAGGCTTGGTCGAGGTTGGTGTGTGTCTCCATTGGGAGATTAAAGGCAGGAGGAGGGAGGATGTGATTGTAGCTGCCGGAAATGGTCATATTGATGGCTGTTTGTCTTATTTCTGTTTTCAGTGTTAAATGAGCTTGGGACCAGTTATATTGAGACGCTGCTGTTGGCAGTTAGTCCTGGAGAAGGTGAAGAGGATGATTCATCAGCTGTAAGTACAGCACTGGGCATCCAGATTTTTTCCTGCTTTATGTAGCTCCTTCTAACAGTCTGGAAATCGAAACAGAGGCTCCCAGTGTGCGAGACCCATATCCGAATCCTTGGTGTGCACTGTTTCTTTCAGGGGCAAAAAATGAAAACCTGATCTGTACACTGCACCAGCACTAGCCATGTGGCCCTTAAATCATTGCGCTCAAAGACATCCCCACACCCCTTTTCTCTCTCCCACTCCTGCCTACACGACACACAAAGTGGTAAATATAGGCAGTAACGGTAGAACGAGTAATTTTGTGCTTGGGAATTAGAGACGAGAGGGACTGACCACCTAAGGTAAACTGAGCAGAAGGAGAATAGTTACAAGCATGTCACGATTAAAATGGGTTTCACTGAGAGGGCCTGGTGTCTAGGTTTGCACATAAAATTCAGGTCCTGAAACAAGACCAGAAGTTTATTAGTGGACGAACCACTGTAATTTTCTGTTGGAGTTTACAGCTGGTGAATATGGAGAAGAAGAAGACCACCCTGAGATAACAGAATTCAATGGCAAGCTAACAGTTTGTGTTATAATTAGGGCCCATGCAGCACTTACACCAGCCTGGTGTCACCTGTTGTGTGCTAAAGATTTAATTATAAGCTGTTAGTTTATAACCCAAGCTGAGAGCTTGGGCTGTCTTATAAGGTAAATGGGCAGAAGAAGAGGTGGGACAAGCTGCTGTGATTGTAGGTTTGATGGATCAGTCAGTGCAATCTTAAGGCTTAGTACATCCTGCGATCTCAGTCAAAAAGCTGGAGGATGCACACACAACAAGGAACTCTGCATACAGATTAGTCAGATCTGTCAAATGGAGGATGCACACGCAACAGGACTGCAGTCCAGAAGTGGACAAACAACCAGAACTTTCTGCCAGAGTTTACAGCCAGTGAATGCGAAGAAGAAGAAGCCTGGATGACAAACCAACAAGGCAGATAACAGATGGCCCGTTTAACCTCCAAAATAAGTCACAATCAGGGAACCAATGATAGCTATACTAGTCTGCTGCAACCTGCAGTTTAAACCATTGGAGCGGCTGTAATGTAGCAGCTAGGCGCTCACCTGAGGATCCGAAGGTCGTGGGTTCAAATCTACATGGCGCTGGATTTTTTTGTTTGCTCTTAGGTCATCCTTAAATGGGTACCAGGTGAAGTACCGAGAACTAAAGGAGGCCAGAGTGATGTTGACCACTTATCCAGGGCCGACGGGTTTACTTTGAGCCTAGCCTCATATGTACGATGTGTTACTGGCGTGTTTGGGGACCTGTACTTAAATTACCATCTGTTTGTTGCCCTGTTGATCAGTCGTGTGTAATCCACAGCCATCTGTCAGTGTTATCAAGCCTTACTGGGAGGCAATGGAAGAGCTTGTGGCAGCTGAGACAGTTCTCTCCCTTGGTGTGTGTGATCTGACTAAAGATTCTTTGGAAGACCTCTACAACTGGGCAAAGGTTAAAGAAAACCTTAGTTCATCATGTTGTTGTTGTTGTTTTTATTATTATTATGTGCACAAGTCGTGTGGGGTTCTGGAAGATCTCTACAGCTGGGCAGAGGTTAGATAACTGTTTAGTTAGCTCATAATGTTATTATGATGCATATGAACAGGTCATATGAGTTGAACATAAGCTCAAGGGGGAGGAATGGATTAATTTCTAGAAAGACAGCATCCTTGTGTGGGTTCTGGAACCCCATTATGGGGAAAACAAGAATAGACCCACCACCTCCCTAAGCATGCATGTCATAAGAATCGACCAATTGAGGGACTCTTTCAAAGTCTGAATGCATCTGCCTGAGAGGCAAGTAACCAACAGTTTGCATACACATTAAGTCAGATGTGTAAAACAGATGTGTTACTCTAGTCATCCCTTTGTGAGATGCAATTTTTCGTTATTTGAAGCCCCTCCCTGGCTTTTCCCTGAATGTAGCTGGGCCACAGCTGAAATGGGCTTTAAAGTCCAGAGGTGGACAAGCAACCAGAGCTTTCCACAGGAATCTATAGCTGGTGAGCATAAAGAAGAAGGAAAGACGGCAAAATATTACAGAATCTGTAACCCTCAGCAGATAATGTAGGGAGGAAAAATCTCTGCAGGTGGACAGTATCTCTGCAGGTGGATAGCATCTCTGCAGGTGGATAGCATCTCTGCAGGTGGATAGCATCTCTGCAGGTGGATAGCATCTCTGCAGGTGGACAGCATCTCTGCAGGTGGATAGCACCTCTGCAGGTAGATAGCATCTCTGCAGGTGGGTAGCATCTCTGCAGGTGGACAGCATCTCTGCAGGTGGACAGCATCTCTGCATGTGGACAGCATCTCTGCAGGTGGACAGCATCTCTGCAGGTGGACAGCATCTCTGCAGGTGGATAGCATCTCTGCAGGTGGACAGCATCTCTGCAGGTGGACAGCATCTCTGCAGGTGGATAGCATCTCTGCAGGTGGATAGCATCTCTGCAGGTGGATAGCATCTCAGCAGGTGGATAGCATCTCTGCAGGTGGACAGCATCTCTGCAGGTGGACAGCATTTCTGCAGGTGGACAACATCTCTGCAGGTGGATAGCATCTCTGCAGGTGAATAGCATCTCTGTAAGTGGATAGCATCTCTGCAGGTGGATAGCATCTCTGCAGGTGGACAGCATCTCTGCAAGTGGACAGCATCTCTGCAGGTGGACAGCATCTCTGCAGGTGGACAGCATCTCTGCAAGTGGATAGCATCTCTGCAGGTGGACAGCAGTTAGAGAACCATCAGCCTCAGTGATAGAGGTCACTGGGTCACGGCGTGAGAAACCTGATACTGATACATAATGTTTTTAAGGCTCTGTGAAATTTATTCCATTTAATGCCGTTATTAGTAACCTGTTTAAACTTATTTTTAAAAGATTTCTTTCGAGAATTCCCACGGGGTCATGACCCATATTGTTAGCATTACCTCCCCGCGTGGGTTCCGGGGCCCTGTTGTAGGTAAAACAAGAATAGACCCACTGCCAACCCAAAAGCATGTTGTAAGAGTCTACTAATTGGGAGCTTTCTTTGAAGTCAGAGTGCATCTGCCTTAGAGGGAAAGGAACCAGCAGTCTGCATACAAATTAGTCAGATCTGTAAAACAGATGCACACGCAACACAAAATTCTGAAACAGGACTGCAGTCCAGAAGCTGGTGAACAACCAGAACTTTCCGCCAGAGTTTACTGCTGGTGAACATGAAGAAGAAGAAGTTAGCATTACCGTGAATAAATGGTTAACTTTTGTTAATTATATGTCAACATCATCTATAATCTCTAGTAAAATCTTGTTTGTTTGTTTAAAATTAACATGAAAATTCTTTTTGTGTGAACTTTAGGTGAAACCAAGCGTTGACCAGGTGAACCTAGAGTCCTGCTGCGTCATGCCACAAGACCTCACAGCATATGCTAAAGCTGTCAATGTTCAGTTGCTGACTCATAATGACAGACCAGGTAAGAGTGCTTTCCCTCTTTGGGTTCCGAAACCCACAGTTTGGGAGAAAATATAATAGACCTGCTGTCGTCCCAAAAAGCATGTCGCAAATAAAGACTGGTTAAGGGTTTGGTGAAACTTGTGGTGTAGGGCCAAAGGCGCAGATGTCACCGCTTAACTATAAACCTCGTTAAGTTGAGTCAAGAAATGACATCATAGCAATAGAGGCATTCCCATATGTGCTATGTTCACATCTTCAGCAGCCAGCACAGAGTTGCAATACTAATTGTACCTGGTACCGGTCTGTGGCGGGTAAATTCGCTTGAACTTAGCGAATGCACTATGTGCACTTTACAGAGGGAACTACAAACAATAAATCTTTATAAAGGTTTATATTACCCCCAGCTTTGCTGGTTAAATCAGAGGATTTGGGGTTTTCCCACATTTTATTCCCTACTGTTAATAAACTTGTATATTTAAATGTATTAAATTATACTTGTTTTTGTTCACTGACACAATTATAGTTAAAATGAAACTCCATAGAACTGTAGGAACATTAAAACTACAATTTATTTTGAAAATTCAAATGATAACTAAATGGCTGTGGATAAAATCCTGTTATATAAGGTTAGAAGACAAATCTGTCCACTTAGCTGTAGCTTAGGTTTCTGTGGTCAGCTTCTGGCTAAGCCTTGGAGACACATCAGGCAGGCCGAATCTTCCAGTCCAGTCCAGACAATCGGGCATCTGCAGCTACGCTAGGATTTACTTCTGGAACTATCACCTGGAACTATCATCCCTGGTAGGGAATTCAAACACAGGCAACAAGACTACAAAACTTTAGCCTGAACTGCGTCAATTGAGGAGAGCAAAATCTTGTCTCCCCCAATTGTGCCTGGTATGAAAATGAAAGAGGAGAGTCCTACCAAGGGGGAAGTTACTCTTCAGTTACTCCTTGCCTACTCTTCGCATTTCAACTTTTTAATTACTTAAGTATTATTAAGGCTAATTAAATAATAAAAAGCAATAAAGAAATGTTTACAAATTTGATAATAGTATTACTAATACACAGCAATATTTAAAAGGGCAGAAACAGCTGTCCAGACCAGCTCGTCACACGGTCGTAGTCTGGTTAAATGTCTGTTTTGAGTGTAGTGAGCTGGCCAGACCTTCTGGTCACACCCAGGTGCATCCTTCTCTCCAGGCCATGATAATCCAGTTTCCCTTCTAACTTCGTTACTTGTTTCCAAAGAGCCTTGACCACATCTGCCTTGTCAGGTATCAGTTCACCATCCTGTGGTACAGGTCCAGCCAATCTGTCTGTCTGTTCATTCCCCACTAAATCACCCTTTTTTTCCCTCTTTAATCTTTCTTTGAGCAGAGGCCCTCAGCCAACTCATGACAAGCTGCCCTGTCTTTTGCTCAGTGTCCTCACCATATTTGTCATCTCTGTAATTCTCTTCTCAATCCCTGAATACTCAGTCATTGAAGAAAATAAACTGAGCTTATAATCTAAAACGAAAGAAAAATCTTAGAATACAAAGGAGAAGAAAAAACAGATGTCTGCTTGATTTGAGCATGGTAGGAGAATTGGCGAATAAACGGCATCCCGTTCCAAATGGAGGGCTCAGTTATAGAAAAATGATGCAGAACCACTTCTATGAAAATGGATACATTGAAGATGCGCTGGCTATGAAAGCACACAGGGCTGGAGAATTGGCTAGAGAAAGAGAGACTTTCAGGTGAGCTGTAATGAGAGCGACATTCTGTAAAGGCGGTGCTGATTGATGATGATGTAATTATTGCTTTTAAGTTTAACCCGCTATGATCCAAGGGTTAAAGTTACAAATTTCTGGTTCTGAAAGAGTTAATTGTAGACATCCCAGTTGCAGTAACTGAAAAGGAAATATCTAAATGGTAAAATGTGTATACACTTTGGCTGTCTGCAAACCTTAACTCCTCTTTTTTTTTCCCCCAGTGTTTATTCCAGAGGAGACGCTGCAGGAAACAATACGAAGCGTATCAACAGAAGCTGACGGCCGGAACTGGGTCCCACAGTGGGTCGTGAGATACTCTGGGATAGTCAAGTGTCGGGGCATCATCAAAATGAAAGGCTACATCATCCACGCTCGCAGGGATCATAAAATAATACTACCATAATGCATATTTTTTCTCACACAACGTAATGTTTACTGATGTTAGGCTGCACAGATTTATTAATTTCACATATATTGTGCTACTGTAATGAGCAGTATAGTTGTTGATCATCAGACTTAATAAATATTTACACCAATATGTTTTAAATTGTTAAACACATGGCTGTGTGTGATTGGTTTGTTAAAGTTCAGATATGTTACTTTGATATATGTTATACTATATTAGTGATCAGAATGGCTATTTGTGATAAAACAAAACACTTACACATATATATGCATGTATTTTTATGAATAGTTTGTTAACAGTTTAAGCTTTAAACCAGAGGGCAAAAGGAGTAGCCATTATTGCTGTTTTAACTTTTTGTATCATCTTAGGATTTTGGTGGGGAGCATCATTCTGATGCAGGTTTTTCTCCAGGCCATGATAAACATTTCTGATGCAGGTTTTCCTCCAGGCAAAGATAAACTTTACTGATGCAGGTTTTCTTCTATGCCATGATAAATATTTCTAATGCAGGTTTTCTTCTATGCCATGATAAATATTTCTGATGCAGGTTTTCCTCCAGGCCGTGATAAACATTTCTGATGCAGGTTTTCTTCCAGGCTGAGGGGCATCATTTCTGATGCAGGTTTTCTTCCAGGCTGAGGGGCATTATTTCTGATGCAGGTTTCCCTCCAGGCAAAAATAAACTTTACTGATGCAGGTTTTCTTCTATGCCATGATAAATATTTCTGATGCAGGTTTTCTTCCAGGCTGAGGTGAACATTTCTGATGCAGGTTTTCTTCTATGCCATGATAAATATTTCTAATGCAGGTTTTCCTCCAGGCCGTGATAAACATTTCTGATGCAGGTTTTCTTCTATGCCATGATAAATATTTCTGATGCGGGTTTCCCTCCAGGCCGTGATAAACATTTCTGATGCAGGTTTTCCTCCAGGCCGTGATAAATATTTCTGATGCAGGTTTTCTTCCAAGGTTGAGGTGAACATTTCTGATGCAGGTTTTCCTCTAGGCCGTGATAAACATTTCTGATGCAGGTTTCCCTCCAGGCCGTGATAAACATTTCTGATCCATGTTTTCTTCCATGCTATGATAAATATTTCTGATGCAGGTTTTCCTCTAGGCTGAGATAAACATTTCTGATGCAGGTTTTCTTCCAGGCGGAGATAAACATTTCTGATGCAGGTTTTCTTCCATGCTATGATAAACATTTCTGATGCAGGTTTTGCTCCATGCTATGATAAACATTTATGATGCAGGTTTTCCTCCAGGCTGTGATAAACATTTCTGATGCAAATTTTCTTCCATGCTGTCATAAACATTTCTTATGCAGATTTTCTTCCATGCTATGATAAACATTTCTGATGCAGGTTTTCCTCCAGGCTGAGATAAACATTTCTGATGCAGGTTTTCCTCCAGGCAAAGATAAACTTTACTGATGCAGATTTTCTTCCATGCTATGATAAACATTTCTGATGCAGGTTTTCTTCCATGCCTTCATAAATATTTCTGATGCAGATTTTCTTCCATGCTTTGATAAACATTTCTGATGCAGATTTTCTTCCATGCCTTCATAAACATTTCTGATGCAGTAAGCACTAAACTCAGTAGCTCAGGTAGTGAGACCGCAGTCTTCTGTCCATATGTGGAAACTGCATTAGCAAAGCAATGTCAGAAGTGAAAATAGCTTTAAATGTGAACATTCTGCCATGCCTAGTCCTTAATATTTGACAGAAAGCGTGTTTTATTTTTTTCTGTTTTATCTGAATCCATTCATTGGACAAGCAGGTATATATGGCCATATTTGCCTTCTGATTTTGAGTATAACTAGGAGAAACTATGATGCAGTCTATGCCACTTTTACTCGAGTAATGTTACAGGTAAAAATGTTAACACAGTTCACTACTACCTGACTGCCCTGTCTCCACTGCTGATGATCTTTAAATTAAAATATGAAATTATTACTCAGTCTCTCATTATTTGTATTTGTCATTTCATTTAACAGTTTTAAATAAGATATTATTTTGAAATTTACTTTACCTTTGCTGTTCTGAAAAATGTATACACTTTTTCCTTTTTTTGTGACTTTTTACATATTTCGCTGTCACTTGTAGTCAAATGGTTAAAAGAATGTTCTGAAAACTATAGTTAAAACATAACTGCTGAATTATTGTCATTTTGAATTTTAGAGATGTATGAGGGTGCAGAAAAGGGATTGATTTGACTTTATATAACAGGAAGTAATCAGATTTCATACAACCGAAAGTAACATGTCTTCATATTGAAAGATATGATTTGAATTCATATAAAATGAAGTGATCTGACTTTATAAAACAGGAAGTAATCGGGTTTCATAAAACCGAAATGTAGCCTGTCTTCATATGAAAGATGTTATTTGAATTCATATAAAAGGAAGTGATCTGAATTTATTTTAAAGAAATTAGCATGACTTCATAAAATGCAATAAAAATTACATTACATGTAATAAAGAAAAAACATGACTTCATATAAAAAAGATATTTGAATTTATATGAAAGGACGTAATCTGATTTGCTACAGAAGGAAATACCCTGACTTTACATAAATATAAATAAGCTGACTTCACTTAAAAAAAAAAAAAGGAGAATTAAGCTGACTTGACCACAGAAATAATCTGACTATTTATCAACGAAAGTAATCTTGACCTGATATAAAAGGAAGTGGTCTGGTTTATACAGGATCAGTTTAATTGCACCAGACTTCTTTATAGTGTTTACCAACTATAAAGTTATGCAGAAAGTTCAAGTTGTTCGTCCACTTCTGGACTTTGGTCTTATTTCAGAACTAGAGTTTCATGTGCACATCCATTTTACGGATCTGGCTTTTTTTGGGCGCACAGGCTGTTGCTTCCTCACCTTTCAGGTAGATGCAGTCTGACTTCAGACACCTCTATTCTGTCGGTTCTACAACGTGCTTGTGGAAGCGGCAGTGGGTCTGTTTCTCCTAACACCAGAACAGCAACCAAGAACCCACACGGGGAATCAGCTTACTCATGATTGAAACTTGGGTCTCCAAAATGAGCGCCAGGTCATATTTTCCTCACATAATGTAAACATACTTATAATTGATCTCGCAGTGATTTATTTCATTGTGTGTTAGTCTGTAAATCATTCGGTATAGTTACACATTGTAATTTTGAAGGTTTTATTTCTTTTAAAAGACAAAGACATTATTATGATTATTAACAGTGTTAAAGAAACGGATTTTCACATTTGCATAAATATGATAATCAGATCAATGTGAAACTTCTCTGATTTAGTTTTTGGTGTATGTTTGTTTTTGTCATAATTTTACTCATTAGTTCTTTATTCTTTATTTATCTTTCAGTCTTAATTATAATCTTCTGTTTGTTTACTCTCTGTCTTATAGTCTTAATTTTAACCCCTTCAGTACCCAAGAGTGCACAATACATTCTTTTGACATTCAAAAGATGATATGTTTTCAGCTGTCTTCTGTCCATGCAGTTGTTGCAATCACAGCCATGATGTCAACACGAACCAACTGTATGAGAATGTGGTCACTATCTGATGTAGATACAACCTGTTGAGCTCTGTTACTTTTACCTTTATGATTCTATCATTTCTATGTCGCTTTAAATAATTCCACATATTAACTCAATAACTAAGACCATTATTTGTGCGGCATGGCCACACTATATTTGCCCAGAATGCCCGCTAGGACGTCTGGTTGACGTCTGTTCCCAGCTGATTCACAACCTGAGCTCACTTTGTCTTACTTCAGGTGATTCACATGGCCTCTGTGGCTTGTTTGTACATCATGAAAATCACATGTTTAGTGCTTTAACAGCAGACCTACATTCCCCCTATCTCCATTCCTACCCTGATCATGACAGTTATATTTGGCCCTTTTATATCTGAAATGTTAGTTTAACTATTTCAGTCTCATAGTATCTTTGTAGAATCTGCTCAGACCTGAGTATTTACCAGTTTGAGCATAACCCCTTGAAATAGAAGGTGTTAAATTAATTTCTTTGGACTAAAAAAGTTAATCTTCATTCCCTTATTCTGTTTGTCCCAGGCTACTCCAGACGTATATTATGCTCGTCCCAGTGAATTCCAACCCTTGCATAATTCACTTTTCTATTTGAAAGTCTGGAGAACACATTTCAGGGGTTCCGTTTTACACCCCAAATTAAAAAAAAAAGATTAATATTCATACATTATAATAGATTCTTCAGTATAACGTGAAAAGTACGGAGCCTGTGACAGACTTAAAAAATAAGAGGAGGCAGTCAGTCTTAGCCAAATAATTTTGGTCTGAGTAGACTCAAGAAATCTGGCTTTCCATGTTTCTAGTTTGAGTATTTTGTAAATTAAAAGATTAATCGTTCGCTGAAATGCACAGGTCACATTGTCTCTTGTTGCATCTCAAAAATGGAGGTTCAAGAGAGACCATGTGATCACCACAGAAGTTTGAGATTAAACCAGTGCTCTTTTTTGTTCACATAGCACAGAACTGTACCAATGCACCTGACAAGGTACAGAAAAAAGTGCCAGATAGGAATAAACTCACAGGGAGCAAGTACAGCAGGGATCTACCAGTCGTCAGTAGAAATTATCCTCGTCAACGAGCGTTTTGGCCCACTATTCCTAGACGCTTTCGGAGGTGGGCCCACCTGAGTTCATGAAGCTCAGGGCTGGTTCCCTGCTGCACGAAATTACCGGATGGTGTTTTTCTTTCGGCCAGAGACAAGACGACTTGGTGGTTTGCAGAAGGTACTGTGAGATAAGAAGTCGCTGCGGCAGCCTAATTAAAGCAGTCAACGTGCCTGGACGACCGAGCGACAAGCTTACGATTGGTTTACCGGACACATGTTGGACTTTTGTTAGCAGGTGGCAGAGGAACACTGGCAGACAATTCGGACACGATGGACTTTCAAAGGGTGAGAAACCCTTTTCCACTAGAGACCCGGACCAGCTCACCGAGGCCCGTCCCCTACGTTGTTGTGTTGCGTCCAAAGCCAGCTACTTTCGGCTACCTCTCCCAGTTTTTTGAGTGTTAATAAAGACAATAAACTGTGCACTGAATTGTTTTGTGCCTGCATGCTTTTACTCTTGAAGTAGCAGTCAGCTGACCATGCATTTCCTTGTTATTTCTAATTGCTGTTGCTTTTCTAAACCCTAAATTGGTCACCTTTCATGACATGCTTGTTAAAGGTCAATGGATCTGTTTTACAAGTCTGGCTTATCTGTATGCAGATTGTTGGTTCCTCTCATTTCAGGCAGATACACTCCGACTTCGAAAGAAAGTCCCCTAATCAATCGTCTTATGTGACACGCTTGTCAGGGAGGCAGTGGGTCTATTCTTTTTCTTTTTACAGTGGGGTCCTGGAATTCACGCACGGTGGTTAGGATGATGATAATGATTAGAATACTGGCTAGTGTGTTTAATTAAGCAATAGTCATTCTGTTTCTAATGTGTATTCTGACCTCTTCAGTAAAGAAACTGGATATACAGACTTCTGGAAAAAAAAAAACACATCCCATTTATCATAATCATCATCTCCATGTTTGGGTTCTGGAGCTCCATTGTGGGGAAGACAAGAATAGGCCCACTGTCTACCCAGAAGCATGTCGTAAGAGCCGACTAATTGGGAGCTTCCTTTGAAGTCGGAGTGCCTCTGCCTAAGAGGCAAGGAACCAACAGTCTGTATACACATGAGGCAGATGTGTAAAAGGGATAGCACACAAACACTCAAGTTCTGGAACAGGACTAGAGTCCAGGAGTGGACAAATAACCAGAACTTTCCGCCGGAGTTTACAGTCAGTGAACGCAAAAAAAAAAAAAAAAAAAAATGATGATGATGATCATGTGGGTTCTAGGGTTTTATTTTGGGGGCAGAAAAAATGAATTAAAATCATGGTCGTCTCTAGACCTATATTTGTATAGACCTACTGGCACTTGATGGGTGATGAGGTCAGCATCATGCCGGCTGCCTTTACTTCCCATGACTGTACCTGGTACCCACTCAAGGCTGGGTCGACCTGGGAGCACCAAAGGAATGAGTCGTTCGATTAATCACAACTACACAACAGAACGGGGGCGTCATTAGTGGGTTTTCCACAACTGGTAATCTGGTAATCTGGTAATCCTAGTTTCAGCTTCATAGCAAACGGGTCACCCCACATATGCTCCGCTCCTGTGCCAACGAAAAACAAACGCAGCTCACAGTGTCACGCCATGCACTCAACTCAGAAGCTGGGCGACGAAACTACATCCTTCCAGTCTACAAATGGAGCAAAAATGCAACGGCCACCGTCTGGCAAAAAAAAAAAAAAAAATATTTGCCACGGCTTTAAAAAAAAAAAAAGGGTGGCCGTACCTAGCGTCCATTTTGACCGGAAGAATTATATGAGGGTTAATAAACGGTCACCCCAGCAGTACCCTCATTATTAGCTGGGGAAGGGACTTAGGATATTACATCCACCAGCAGGCGTCGCCCCTACAACGACCTGCCTGCCATCGTTCCACAACTATTAATGCCAACTTTTTTAAAAATATCTTTTAATTTCCAAACAGTTTTTTAACAACTGTTCGAAATCATTTATTATATCAAAGTTCATACAGCTTATAATTAACTATTAATATACCGAACCACGAAATTGACATGGGAAGCAACTCTCAATGTAGATTGTAGTCAACATGGCTTCCCAAGGACCGAAACGGGAGTCTCTGTCGCGTTATTTCAAAGATCTTGACGAATTCGAAGACAGCGATAGTGATACTGAAACAAGTAAAGTTGACGGTACTTCTAATGCAAAGTCGAGTGATAAAACTGTAACAAAGAGTAATAATGTAAAAAATTCTGCAGCGGATAATGAACTTGCTTGCAAACCAGCTGGTTTGAAACCTGATCTCGAGACTGAAAAAGAATTGCCTCCGCATACTACTACCAGCAGTAATTTGAGTAATAGTAATAGACACACTGATGTAAAAGCTAATACAGAAAAGAAGAACAAACTTCCTTCTGCTTCAGAATGTTTAAGCACACGCAGCAATCCAACATTCTTGAAAGTATCTGAGACAAAAGAGATCAACTGGGACGCTCGTGAAAAACGATTGGGTGGTGGGGATGAAGATACTGCTGCCGCCACCAACGTTACAACTAACGCAGTTCCACCGCCTTCATCTTACGAGCCAATTACAGATCCTGGAATTAAAGTTGTAGACTCAGAAGGACGGAAAAGAAAGACAGTTTGTAAGTATGCTTATATAATATATTTTGGTAACCCTCTCATACTTAGAACACTTAAAAAAAAAAAATGGGTCATGACCGTTTGAATTGAGATTCAAGAAACACAGGTTAACTCAGGCCATGCAACTTTTTGGGGAGGGTAGGGGGTTAAATTCTATGATCAAATCAGTACTGTTGTACATAGTGGGAACATTTAGAACAACTGGCTATCCTCTGAATAACGGTCCCAAATTATCAAGGCTGAAAATATACCCTAACAGGGCCTCAGTCACATGTCAATTGCGAACTTCTGGCGACCTAATTTGCACACTTCCGCCATCGCCTAGAGTATCTCCCAAGCCGCTACGTGCGCCGTTGATTGGGACTAAGCTAGATGGCTGGAACTCACGAGCAGCAGCTACTGCATCTCCTGCAGCTTCCTTAATTTTATTTGCTTGTGAGTAGCGGCGTGGGAGATACTCTCGGCGTTGGCGGTATAGTTCCCGGAAGTCTGCAATTTAGGGCCCTGTTTGGGTATATTTTTGGCCTCGATAATTTGGGACCGTTTTTCAAGGATAGCTGGAAAACAAGGCATTTGCCAATAAACCACAAGCATTCATTAATGTAATCCAGTGTTTTGCACTCCTTAGATGAAATAGTTAGTTGTTATTTTACAACATATTAACTCTTTCAGTCCCAAACAATTTGTTATGTGTGAATCCTCTCCTTAGCTTAATATGCTTTGTTAATTTTTGTATTTGGTCAGAACACACTCAAGAAATCTGGCTTATCCTAAGCTTGATATGCTCTATTACTTTTTGTATTTGGTCAGAAGACACTCAAGAAATCTGGCTTATCCAGTAGCCATTACTACTGTTATTCAACAGCTACCAAGATAATGTACTTATCAGTTTAATCACAGATATGTCTTCATTGGCATCTCATACTTAACCTGGTACTAAAAGAGCTAATAGTCTACAATGAATCAGCATCTTATGTTTTATATTTCTTTTTCTTTGTTCCTTGCAGGGAGTGATCTGGAGGACCAGAACACCTCAACGAAAGCATACAAAGTACACAAAGATGATGGTGACGATGAAGGTGATGATGGCTCCTGATAGTTTCCAATAGTCCACATGCTGTCATTTTTAATTGTTCAGAGGAACTTGTTATCCTTGTGAGAATGTATGCTGTTTTACACCCTGTTGTGTACTTTTCAAAGGTGTCTGTAAAGAAAGGAACTGACGACCTACCTCAAATATTTTGGCCTAGTAAAACACAGTAAAACCTTATTAACCCGAACTTGTTTAAGGCGAACACTCGGTTAACATGAGCAAAATTTTGGTCCCAGCGGGGATTATTTATAATACATTCCCAGTCAGCACAGATTTTTAAAACATGAACTCATGATTTTTGCGTTGATTTCATCTTAACGAGGTTTTAGGTTTTATAAAGCGATACTTGAACTAGCTGTGTTATATGGCACTGAAACCTGGAGTATAACTAAACGAAATAAAGCCTTATTATAAACTTTTGATATGAGCATTTACATTGCTGGGCTGTCCATTTGGAGGCCTGGGTAAACCTCCATGTGCCTTTATTGGGTTTTGTTCTGTCAGGGGCACTAGCAGAATACCTGACCTGCAGTAGTTTATTGCAACTACGGAAGCCACACGACCCTTAATCCTCAGGCTAAAAATAACACTACTGGTCTAACCCTGTCCTAAAAAGTGGTATTTAAGGAAAAATCAGCTGACAAATGGCCTTTTCTTACCAGCATTTTGCAGTCAGTGTCAGACATAAACGGTTCAAGAAAACATAAATGCAGAGTTACAACATGTGAAATGAGATGTGTAAAAAATGTCGGGGGAAAAAACAAGAAGAGTCACTCTTGAAGAACTAAGCACCATAGTAGGCACAGTACCGGTGATTGATTTCATGCAACATCAGAAAATCAAATGGTTTAGTCCTCTCGTCAGAATGGAACCGAATCAGCCAGTAGCTAGAGTGGACTACATGAAAACAACAGGCTACAAGACAGGAGGCTGACTAAGAAAAATGTGGAGGGAGGAGTGTCAGTGAAAAAGACACTACAGAAACACAGTACATCATTAACACAAGCTACACAACTGGCAGAAGACAGAAAGTTACTTCCTAACGCCTTCCTAAAATTATCATGACCCAGATGAAAAACAAACAAAATAAAAACGTGTCAATTGATTAGACAGCTGTTAGAGTGCTGGGCTGTCAAGCCGGAGACCCGAGTTTGAATCCTCAGTAAGGCTGGGAATTTTATGTGGGGAGGGGGGGGGGGGGTGTGTGTAAAATCCTCACCTGCACAGTCGTGGCAGAAATAAAGGAGTAGCCATTATTGCTGTTTTAACTTTTTGTATCATCTTAGGATTTTGGTGGGGAGCATCATTTCTGATGCAGGTTTTTCTCCAGGCCATGATAAACATTTCTGATGCAGGTTTTCCTCCAGGCAAAGATAAACTTTACTGATGCAGGTTTTCTTCTATGCCATGAAAAATATTTCTAATGCAGGTTTTCCTCCAGGCCGTGATAAACATTTCTGATGCAGGTTTTCCTCCAGGCCGTGATAAATATTTCTGATGCAGGTTTTCTTCCAGGCTGAGGTAAACATTTCTGATGCAGGTTTTCTTCTATGCCATGTTAAATATTTCTAATGCAGGTTTTCCTCCAGGCCGTGATAAACATTTCTGATGCAGGTTTCCCTCCAGGCCGTGATAAACATTTCTGATCCATGTTTTCTTCCATGCTATGATAAATATTTCTAAAGCAGGTTTTCCTCTAGGCTGAGATAAACATTTCTGATGCAGGTTTTCTTCCAGGCGGAGATAAACATTTCTGATGCAGGTTTTCTTCCAGGCGGAGATAAACATTTCTGATGCAGGTTTTCTTCCAGGCCGTGATAAACATTTCTGATGCAGGTTTTCCTCCAGAATGTGATAAACATTTCTGATGCAGATTTTCTTCCATGCTGTCATAAACATTTCTGATGCAGATTTTCTTCCATGCTATGATAAACATTTCTGATGCAGGTTTTCCTCCAGGCAAAGATAAACTTTACTGATGCAGATTTTCTTCCATGCTATGATAAACATTTCTGATGCAGATTTTCTTCCATGCCTTCATAAATATTTCTGATGCAGATTTTCTTCCATGCTTTGATAAACATTTCTGATGCAGATTTTCTTCCATGCCTTCATAAACATTTCTGATGCAGTAAGCACTAAACTCAGTAGCTAAGGTAGTGAGACCGCAGTCTTCTGTCCATATGTGGAAACTGCATTAGCAAAGCAATGTCAGAAGCGAAAATAACTTTAAACGTGTCAATTGATTGGTGGAACCCTAAGGTATTATTGGTGAAATTTGAGTAATTTCCCTTCTTGCGTTACAATGATGCAGAATGTCAAAATTGTGAGTATGTATGTTCCTTACAGTAGCTATGTGTTTCTTTTTTTTTTAACAGTGTATATATTGATATAAATATATATATGTGTGGGGTGTGTGAAATGCTTAGAGGCAGAGTTGAATTTTAGAATGTTTCACTCATATAAATATAAATGCATTGTGTGTCATATATTGAACCCACAGCTGTTTTCCACATTGTTTTGTGTCTTTAGATGTTGTGGTTTGATTGACACCTTCCAAGACTGTAGTGTTATAGTGTTCTGTAAAAAATCACAGCCCATGTTGATGGTGTGTGCGTGACTAGCAACACCTGCTCACGTTATTACCAACAACAACAAAAAAAGCAATATGTCGAGGAGCTGTTAGAATGCTGGGCTGTCAAGGGGGAGACCCGAGTTTGAATCCTCAGTAAGGCTGGGCATTTTTTTATGTCGGGGGGCAAAGTAAAATCCTCACCTGCACAGTCGTGGCAACAGCACTAGCTTGCGGCCGTAAATCCTCAGTCTCAAAGACCCTCCCTGCAAAAGTGGCAGTAATTGGCAGTTTTTTTTCTTCATAAGTCAGAGTATTTGTATAGATTGGCCAGCACTCAATGAATGTTGCTGTCAACATTAGACAAGTGACCGTTATTTATTTTATTGTTTCAGTTTAAGGCTTTGAGCTCTAGACCTTTTATACAAAATCCTTATGCAGTAAAAGCATCTGGGTAATATGTTTGCACTTTTGAAACTTACATCCTTCTACATGCTTCAGTATTTCAGTATTAAAGCGGGGAGAAACCATGTTGTTTCTCAAAAATAACCTAATTTTGTATTACGAGACTAGACTTATTATGTAGTGATAAAAACAGGGATGACTGTTGTCAGGCTTATCCCGTGAAAAATCCCTATGGGAATTGGTGGCCAGTTGATTGTTGATTTTGTTGCTAAAGGTTGCTGTTGAAATGTCCAAGGTTTCTTGTGTATTATTCCCTTCCCTTCTTGATTAAAGTTCTCTTAGTCACACAGTTCAGAGGGTTAATTTTCTTTTTGCATTGATATGTTTGAAAAGCTTCTTACATATCATCCATCTGATCAAACTCACAATCTCCATACAAACATTAAGAGGTGAGGGGGGGGGGGGAACCCCAATAACATATGTGACACAAAGAAGGTAAATCAAGTGCTTTTGTATTGCTGCACTCAAGTTCACAAAGGCAAATATAATTCATTCAGAAATAAAGAGCAGGTATAGTCAGGAGGTTTTTACATCCCACATCTAGCTCAACAGTATTTGGTTTGCTATCAAATTGGGTTGGGAATTTTTACAGAAACTATTGGTGTCATGCAGTCCAGTCCCACTCTTCCATGCATTCTTCTTCACGTTTTCAGGCTATAAACTCCAGCAGAAATTTCTGGTTATTCATCCAGCAATTGACTCCTCCATTTTACACATCTGACTGATGTGAATGCACATTGTTGGTTCCTTGCCTCTCAGGCAGATGCACTCCGACTTTGAAGGTAAGCTCCAAGTTAGTCAATTCTCACGACATGCGTTTTGGTAGACAGTGAGGTTTTCTGGTTTTCCCCCACAATGGGGCCCCAGAACTCATCTGGGAAAGGCTCCATGCATTCTTCTTTATCTCCTTCTGTCCCAAGCGACGCACCATGTGTGCTCAGTTTATGTCTGTGTGTTTTAACACAACACATAGTGTGTTATTATTTTTTTCATGTCTGGTCTTGGTATGCAAACAAAATCTGGCAACAGAATTTAAATCTGTAAATGTTTTTTTTTTAAAGTAAAAAACTGATGTCTTTTTTCACTGTAATTTTTTGGGTTTCTACTTTAAAGTCACCTGGAGTTCAAGGACACAGTTTGTGTTGCGGATTACAGCTAGTCTTCGACATCTGCACCTTTCAGCCCAATACATCCTTTTTCAGAAGACCTGTAATTAGTGGGACTTGAAATATGCTTGTTGGAGGGGGTGACAGTAGGTCTGTTCTTTGTGCCCCCCACAATGGGGTCATGGAACTCAAACTGGAAGTGAGTTATAACTAGCTTTCTCAGATCAGATCAGATTTAAGAAAAAAAACACACAAAATAATCAGTTGCACATGTTGAAAATCTAACAGCTGTTTCCAAATTATAATGGGAATTCTGTAAGGACACAATTGTGGCAAAATTAGGCTTAAAAGAATCTGTATTATCAAGTTCTTAAATCCATTCCTTCTCATAACATATAATTATCTGGTACAATGGTACACATTTTTATGAGGCTGTGTTGACTCTAGAACTCTTTTGTCATTAGAATTGTTGTGGACTGAACCTGGACCCCGTGTTTGACGAGCAAACATACTAACCAAAATACCACCAGGGCTCCTTCGAGTTAGGTGTATGACTGGAGGGGAAATACTCCCTAGATCCAGGGCCAGATTAACCAGAGCGCACACTAAGTACCTGCTTAGGGCATCACAAAGGCAGGGGATACCAGAGACATTTTCTGTAGCCTTAGAGCTAAATGTTTATTTTCTCAGTTAAAGTATATTTTAAAAAAATCCCATCAAAACAACAATGTAACAAGGCAGGCTGATGTCACGGACATAGGACCATGATCTGTGTATGTCAGGTGCATTTACATTTCACTCCTATGAGTGGATGTTAGTGGCCCCAGTACACTATTGTGTCCAGGGGCCCGTAATGCTGTTAAGACAACTCTGTGGAAAGGGGCAGCACCAACATCTGTTTAGTGCTAAGGGCATCCCAGGGGTCTTAATTCGGCCCTGACGAGCAGAGAAAAGAAAAGATGGATACATTTATTTAATATTTCAGATTTTACATTTATACATACCAGTGTTAGTCATGGGTCATTTTGCCAACACAGAGAAGAAATATAGTTGAATCCCCATGGGGGCATATTGAAAAAAAAAAAAAAAGGGAATTGAGTCACAAAAGTAAAGTAAAATGACCATTTCCACATTTTGCAAACACAGAGGCTAATATGGTTGAATCCCCATGTGGGGCATATATATATATTTAAAATCGAATGGAACTGAGTCACAAAAGTAAAGGATCCCTTTCCACGCCTTCAGTCGTACTGAGTATATAGTAGGGCTGTACCGAATACGAATTGTGGGACCAACTATTCGGCGGAATACGAATAGTGTATCATCATCATCAGGTGTCTTGCCGACTGGTGTTGGCGATTTTGCCTCGCCACAATCTGCGATCTCCTGCAGCATGTGTCAGTTCGTGTGCTGACACACCTCCATGACATGCAACGAGACTGTCAAGAATCTTCTCTCTCTGTCTTTTTCTATCTCTCCTTCCACAAATCTTTCCAGTGGTCACCACATGTTTCATTTTCACTCTTCTTATAAGATGGCCGAAAAAATGATGACTGTCTCCTACTGATGTCTGTGATTAGTTGTCTTCGGGCTCCCGCCTCTTTCAAAACCTAGTGGTTGCTTTTTTTTAAGGCTGTCCAAGGTATTTTAAGCATTGTTCTGTAAAACCACATCTCTGAGGCCTCAAATTATTGTTTGGCCTGGCTACCAATTGTACAGGACTCATAGCCATATGTTAAAACTGGATGTATGCAGCAAGCAAGACAAAGATATATTACATAAGATGTTCTTTTTTTAAAAAATAAAATGCAGTTTTTGTCTGTCCTATTTTTTTTTTTTTTAATTTTAGTAATGCATCTTTCATCTGGTTTTATCCATGTGCCAAATTCGCATTTAAATCATCGTTCGTTCGATGTAATTTAAATGCACCTTCATATTCTTGTTCGCAATATCTTCAATTTGATTTGGGCAAAGACACCAGGAAAGAACGAAAAAATGCATGCTCTCTCTCTCTCTCTTTCACACACACACACAGATACACACGCACAAAGGCCTTTAAAGATATGTGCTTACTTAACGAGGCTAACAGTTAATATCGTTCAGACCATATTTTCCACTTCAAAATTTGAGCAAAAATGTAGTCACAACCTTACTTATCTGCTGCACCTTCACGAATACAGATGGAGGATTGGTCGCATGTCGGGATAAATACAAAGCCAATTTTTAGCAAACTGCGGTTGGCATTTTATGCAGCATGATACACTTTGAGTGTGAAACGAGAAAAATTTTTTTTTCGACAGTGGCGAGGAAAGACAATTTAAATTTTAACTTTCAAGTTTCTTCATGCCTCCTTTAACACAACAGTAGCGTTGCCTAAATCGTAGGGGGAAAAACTGCGACCCAGCTGCGTGGTAACAGCGCCTGCTGACTCCTCCGAGGCATTACAGCAGAGGTTCTAAAACTGAGTGCGTATGCCAGGAGTGCCGCGGCGAAAATCAAGAAAAGTCGGCAAAAAATGGTGACATTATTAATGAGAGAGTTATTTCAGTCCATCGCAGTGTATGCATAAATCACTATTCGTATTCGGCCCGACCGCCACTATTCGGCCGAATACCGAATAGCTATTAGGTCCACTATTCGGCCCTGAAGCGAATATTCGGTACAGCCCTAGTATATAGTGCTATACCTATATTTTATAGACCAGTGGATAGATAATGTGGTCATAACACACACGCCGTCTTTACCTCCCAGGACTTTACCTTGTGACAACAGTCTGACTGTACATCGGTCTCGCCTTTACCTTGAGTGTTGAGCTCCTGGTCTCTCCTTGCAACACCAATCTCTTCAGATTGTGTTGATTTGTTTGTAACCTCCTCACTGATTACTCAATCTCAAAGTAACTTTACATTATCAAGCTTTTCCAATTTAAATTCACCACCAAGGGGTGCAGAACAAGCCAGTCTTTCTGCCCCTCACAGACAGCCGGACAAGGGGAGAATATGCAAAGGACGCTTGCTAGCATACACGTCATCGCCTTTCTTGGCATGTTCTGTTGACAGATACAATTGTTTAATGTAACAGTTACCTGTGATAGAATCATAGAAGAGAGCCACAATAAGAAATTTACATTGTCTTTGGACGACCCAATGAACATACGATGAGTTGCATGAAACCAAAAGTTAAAACACAGAAAGATAAGGTACTGTGTGGGATTGCACTGGACTTCAGGTTGTTCTCCAACATGGACAGAGTTACGAGAAAGAAATGAACGGAAGCATTAAGTACGATTTAAGATGACCGCCAAAGAGGCATCGAACACCGTCCTTATATGCGGGGTATCCGTAGCGTTGGTGATGTGTATGGTCAGCCGGTCTGCTGCACGGGCGACGCAGGATTCAAACTTGCGTTCAACAAACTGACAGACCTCTGCGAACTCATTCTCTCCTGTAGAATATACAAGAAAATATTGCAAGATGTAAGGGAGGAAATTTGTGCACATTAGTTACAACTAGACAGATACGAACACACTATAAAAGAGAATCGTCAAATATTATTATACCAAGATTCAGATTTAGTCATCTATTGATGTCTATCCACAACCTTCTGTTTCGTGTACTTTCAATCAGTTCAAAAAGTGGCCGATCCTAGCGTCCATTGTACCTGAAGCATTATTTGAGGGTTAATAAACGGTCACCCCAACAGTACCCTCACTATTAGCTGGGAAATGGGCTTAAGGCATTACATCCACCAGCAAGCCTCGCCCCTATAACGACCTGACTGCCTTCGTTAACGACTGTTCACCCAACAGCCATGCAGTTCTTTGGCACGAAGGAGACACCTTGAACTTGGGTTTCGGACTGCCGCCTCCCTACAGGATGTTATATTATCACAATCGACACACATGATCTTGCATGCCACGATCTTAAACTATCCAACATCTTCTCTGTCAGTCTCCCTGTCTTTTCCACTCTAACTTTCCCACCGTCACAATGTACTCCAGTTCTCTCCTTCCCATGACATGAACAAAGAATGTAGACTGTCACTTCCAATGTGGGCAAACTGTTCTCTTTACGACTCCGTGTCTTTCAAGACATTCGTTACTCTTTTTATTCGTCTGAAAAACCGCTTCTAAATAATCTTTCACAAAACTAATCTTCCAACTGTGCATGATTCACTTTATATCAGGAAAAGATTTACATAGTTCTTTAAAATTTAAATTCTTGTCTTAAATGACACAGAAAGATTGCAGAGAATACTCTTTATTTTGTAAAATGCTGCCTTTGCTTCAACTATTCTACATGTAACCTCTGTAATACATCTTCCATCTAATGTTATCTGAGTATCAAGTACTTAAAGTGTATCAACTTTATTGCTTGAAAATCGTCCCATTAACGTTGATGGATATCTTTTCATGTGACATATAAATGCATGCGCACAGATAGGTAAAAATAATTATCCATTACAAAAATAAATATAGTGAACAGTCTCAGGACGAACCATTATACTCAGGAAAGGCTACCGTTATAGGAACCTTCTTCAGCTTCTGTTGGAAGAGATCTTTCTTGTTGAGAAACAGAATAATCGGTGCCCGGGAGAACCCGTCGTAGGATGCCACTGTGTGGAACACCCTGATGGCGTCAATGATCTCCGTCTGTGAACGATACACATACAAGTATAATCTGTCTCCATAGTAAACTTTGTTTAGTTAGTTAGTTAGATAGTTGGGTTATCATCATTGCGATCTGGAAATCTCCATAGGTGCTCAGATTCTGCCCTCGGTATAAACCCCAGAGTCTGGTGACTAATAGTACCAGTTCTATGTTGATTACCAAGTCCGCTGTACGATACAATAAATGGTAATTACTTTGAGGATATAAAACATGTATTGCAAAAAGCAAAGGACACTGCACGAGGGCCAGACGGAGTCAGGTATGCCTACATGAAAAGCGTGAGTAATGAAGACTTGAGGGAGATGGCTTGTTACTTCAACCAGAGCATCAGAACAGCTTCAGTATCCCAGGAATGGGTACACAGTTACCTAATTCCACTTCATAAACCAGGTAAAGATCATTCCAGACTCGGCGGTTTCAGGATTATCACCCTAAAAATACTTTTAGCGAGGTGCAAGAGAAGATTATTGCTGTTAAACTACACATGTTTTTGGAAACGAAAGAGCTCCTGCCAAAAGGTTTGGGTAGTTACCGGCCACGGAAAGATACCTGGTCAAATGTAGCTACTTTTGCTTTTGATGTTTATAAGGGGTTCCAGAACAGACAGGAGACGGTTGTGGCAGCACTAGATAATGAGGATGCCTACAATAGAGTCAAATATGGTATTTTGATTTCTTCCCTCATGGAGAAGGGAGTTTGTCCCTGTCTTGTGAACTGGATAGCAGCTGTCTTGCATTCACGTATGGTTGCTCTTCGCCTGAGTACATGGACCTCAGAACCACATAATATTGCCCCGGGACTACCTCAGGGTTCTGCAATTTCACCAGTAAGAAATTTCAAAACGGCGTGACTTTTGTGACGGACTCTTCACGGCTAGACCAGGCACACCGAATAGTGACTCCAAAGTCAACTGCGGCCGTTCAAACCTACTTTTTGTACTAGGTTAGTTGCTTATCTTTTACAAGACGTTGCAGAACCAACCCCAACAGCTCCTGGTTGTTGTGTGGTTTTTCTAGGCAAATTGTACGTCCAGTAGTTTGCCATTCCCTCTGGACGGTCGGCTTTCTTGATACCACTGTCGAAACCAACGCAAGGCACATGGCCCGCAGCTGGAATCGAAACCGGCTTCCAGGTACTACGAGTTCAAACCTACTACTCCACTTAAAAACTTGCTAGACAAGCATGCATCACCGACCTGGACCTTCGTTGGCCATATGAATTTCTGCAACTTTCATTTCTTCAATGATTAAAACACTGCTCCTCTTTGGTGCACGTCATCCTTAAACTGTAATTTTGACGTCACTGTGTTCGTATGCACTAGGATGGCACATGCTTTATACTCTTGACATCCTTAGCAACAATACTGACAGGTTACAAGCAGTGCCATAGGAAGGGACGAGCGCGGGGTGGGAGGGGGGGGGGGGCGGGGTGTGACCGGACATTTTTCAAATCGGGTACCAGCTGACCTTGATATATCACTAGTCACGAACTATATTCACTTTTACGGTTTTCATTTGAAGTCATCTCCTGAATTACAGTGCACCCCACAAGTGCTTTTTAAATTCTGGTACAGCTTCTCCATCCCCCCATAGGGAAACATGATCCACAATGATTAACCGATGTCTGCGTCAGATATCCTTACATGAAACCGAATCAAACTGGAGCAAAATTCCCATAGCCCAAAGAGAAATCCCGATAAACCCCATAATCATTACATAGGAAATAGTTAACAGTAAATTTTCCATATCAAGGTTGTTCCTTCAAGCAAAAGCCGCGATAACTTTTCAATAGATTTGCATTCCCGCCAGACAAGGAATCTGAGCTTTACTTTCTCCCGGCAAATGACGATCTGAGGTTAATAAGTCTCGTCTGCCGGCGTGTCTGGTATTCTTTTTGAGATTAAAAGGAAAGTAATGTTATTTGGATAACTGATTGTCAGCACTAGAAGTAAAGTATGTATATTTTGTGGGTGCATCGCGAGAGAGAGAGAGAGAGAGAGAGAGAGAGAGAGAGAGAGAGAGAGAGAGAGAGAGAGAGAGAGAGAGAGAGAGAGGGGAGAGAGAGAGAGATGGAAGAGAAAGCGGGTGGTTCCCACTAAGGTAATTAATTAGGTGGGAGCTCAGACCACTCAAAATCCATTTTCCTCCCAGTCAGGAAAACTCAGAAACGCAACGCCGCCCTCGTCACCACTTTACACATATAATTACACATTTAAACAATGCTTATAGTGTCCCTGACCACTGGAACGTCGTCGTCGCCGCCACCGCCGTCTTCTTCTTCTTCTTCTTCTTCTTCTTCTTCTTCTTCTTCTTCTTCTTCTTCTTCTTCTTCTTTCTTCTTTTTCTTCTTCGCTTTCACCGGATGTAAACTCCAGCGGAAAGCTCTGGTTGTTCGTCCACTTCTGGGCTGCAGTACTTTTCCAAAATCTGAGTGTTGCGTGTGTATCAGTTTGACAGGTCTGACTAATTTGTATATAGACTGTTGGTTCTTTGCCTCTCAGGCAGGTGCACTCCGACTTTGAAGAAAGCTCCCATTTGTCGACTCTTACGACATGCTTTGGCTAAGCAATGGGTCTATTCTTTTTTTCTCTCTATAATAGGGCCCCGGAACAAACAAGAGGAAGAACGTTTGTAAGGTGTCTACACCAAATTTTACATAATAAACAGAAAATATATTTAAACAAATCGCCCATAAAAGCAAACGGTGCTTTTTTTATATCGTACCCCGAACAGGGAAAATCCACAGGTCACGGGGCAGTCTAATATTTCAGAGGGTCGTAGATAGGCTGCACATAATCGTGGGACCTAGGCTGCATGCAGTCGTGGGACCTAGGCTGCACTCTCGTGGGACGTAGGCGGGTTGAGGTTAGGGCCAGTTCTATATGTTTCGGGGTCGTTAAAAGCATCAGAAAGCTGGGAAACCCAGTCTTACCACCCTCTACAATGTTAGACTGTCTCATATCGGGGTAAGATAATAAAGAACCAAACTAATCCAAAATTAATAAAAGCTTTTAAAACAAGAGATGGAATACACCCGTGATAACAATACCTGATCTTCATGGTCCTTGCTCTGGACATCGTATGAGCTGAGGGATACTGTGTAAAGTATGGCTGAAACGTTCTCGAAGTTCTGTAGCCACTTTTTCTTAACGGTGCAGTGGCCATCGACGTCACAGAGTCTGTTCATACATTAGTTGATTAAATTGTTGGAACAGTTAAACAACTTATACGGCGTTGTAAATAATAGCTAAACAACCTAAACGGCGTTGTAAACAATAACGACTAGAGATTATCATGGCTAAATGTCAGAACGAAGACAGTTTCTGTAATTCGTTCACAAATTCGTGTACTGCTTTTACAAATTTTCCAACACCAAAATGGGCTGAAAAGTGAAGAAATAAAAGAAACGACTGGACAACCAAAGCTATTAACTGTTACAGAACAGACAGAAAAAAAAAAAAAAAGGATGGTGATATATGAGGTACCAAGAGGGGAAGAAGATAGAGTATCATCAAACAGACACAGGAATGGGAAACCTTAAGACGACAGTTGATAAGAAAAGGCCCTACACCCAAACTTGACTGGCTGATTAAATTCTTTTTTTTTCTCTTTTTTTTAAAAATACCTTGTTTGGCTTTTGAGAAAGAAGTATTGTTAACAGGTACTGTCGCTACTCATCAACGCTTGCAATTTATTTCTCGAGCAGTCATACATTCTGTCACTCTCTATGTTGACTTGCATGTGCAATACCTGAACTATAACGCGACAATACATAAACTGTAGTTTGTACTATCCCTGAACTATAAAATGTACGTACAAAGTTCCTTGGCAATCGAAAAGTGTAGCCCAGTTAAAAATCTACCCAAAGTATTTCAGGATTCTCGCCGGAGTTACGGAGCCCGTGTACTTCTTCGGACTCAAACTTGAGTTAGAATAAGCACGGAACACTTATGGGTCACACTCACGTGTCATGATGTTGATCAGTTGTTAAAACTTTAAACTTTATCAAATGTAGAGTGTACAGGATCGGATTAAGTCCATTTGATGCCCTAAGCACTTAGGACATGTTGGTTCCTCCTACCACTTTCCACCCCAGAGCGTTTTACCAGCATTATAGACCCCTGGGCAAACCAGTGTCATGAGGTCCCTATGATAACCTCTCGCAGAAATAAAATGTAAATGATCACCTAACATACACATACTAGCATGGGGTACCGAGGCTTGTGGGAACCCTCAGGCAAGTGACCAGTGGGTCTATGTGTTAAGACAGTACTGGTGCTCCCATATATGTATATACGTGTGTGCGTGTGTGTGAGAGAGAGATTCACAATTTAAACAATAATAAACAGGAAAGAAAAATTTTGGCTACTTCTGTATATTCCCCCTGTATTTACGTTTGAAAAGTTTTTCTCCCGTGTGTGTGTGTGTGTTTTTTTTCTTTTTTAAATTTTTTTTTAAAGTAGCAAAGTATTTGATCAGTTCTTCAAAACTAATTTTTTGTAACACATCTGCTTATACTTAAGAGAGGTAGGATATCCAACCTGTGTTGTTGTTTTGTTGCTCTGATTGCATTTTAAAATGTACTTTAACTGACAAAATAAACGCTCAGCTGCAAGGCTACTGAAACTTTCTGTGGTGCTCCTTCCTCTGTGATGCTTTAAGCACGTGCTTTGGGTGCTTAAAGGATAATCCGACCCTGACAGTACCTACACTATAATTTACACAGTACCTGGAATATTAAGTACATATGTAAACTATAACTAAAATATAACGTGTATATCGTATGAACTATAACCATTACAGTACTTCAACGTTAGGGAGCCGCCGTAGTGTAGTGGTTAGACGCTCGCCTGCGGATCTGAAGGTCGTAGGTCCTGACAGCCGAGTTTTTTATTTTTCAAAAAATGACCTTGGCTCCCAGGACGACCCAGCCCTAAATGGGCACCACACCGTCAACTAAGTGCCGATTGGTTTATAGAATATAGGTCTAGCCCTATAAGCCCACTTTGCTTGAAGGCGAGGAAAAGAGTCATTAACTTTATTTTTACTTGAACAGTAAAGTGCACAGTACCTGAACTCGAATCCTTTGAAGTGAAAGAGGATCTCGTGCAGTCCCGTGGTCTTTTGTCTGACTCGCAGGATGTCGTAATCACTAGGAGCGTAGGTGTCTGATAGAATCTTGTCTAACGACCGAAACAGACTGTAATTAGAGACAGAGAATCTTGTCTAGCAACCGAAAAATTATCTCTCTCTATCTCTCTCTCTCTCTCTCTCTCTCTCTCTCTCTCTCTCTCTCTCTCTCTCTTATATATATATATATATATATATATATATATATATATATATATATATATATATATATAGTGTATAAGCTAACGGGAAGCGAAAAGTGACAATCAGAATGCAGACGAGAATTGTTTTTTTGATTGGGACAAGTAAATAGTTCCCCACTGAAAAAACTTAATATATAAAGGAAAGACAAGCGTTCTTCTGGTGCAGGGATCATGAACTCATGGCCCAGGCGTTGAATATGTGTATAGTGAGTTAAACAACAACAACACATAACCACATAGGCAGCACCTAGGGAGAGCAGGTGCACGAACTACAAGTTATAATCTAAATAAAAAAAAACTTAATATTATAAATACATTCAGCATACGAGTTTTTACTGAATACAAAACTAGCGTCCTTCACAGATAACAATACACCAACAGCACATGTGTTCGAACAGACCATGCGCTAGTCACTGTAGCTAACAAAGATGAGAGTTCGCCTTTAAAGCAATCAACAATTTAAAAAAAAAAATTCTCACTGCGAGGAAGCACATATAAATCTAGATATTTGCGGATAACAATACATTACAACTTAACACCGTGTTTGAACAGACCATGTGCCAATCACTCTAGATAGCAAAGAAGAGAGGTTGCCTTCACTTCACAGCAACCTACAATCAAAATTTCCGCACATGGAAATCTAGGTCTAAAATATTTTAAATAATGGGTGTACTGCTAAAACACGAAACCAGAGAGCCAGTTCATCTCTCGCGGGTCAGTCCGATGTACCTAGGTTGCACACGAACCCTGTACATTTCGGCAACGAAAAGTCACGCCTGCATGTTTCCAGTGTCGATGCGGCAGACCAAAGAGGAGGTTTTCCCCTCCCTGCGCCGGGCCTCATATGAACTTTTAGACTCACTGGGCACTTCCAGAGAGTTCCAATCTGCAAACCTGCCAGTTTGAACTCGCCAGTGTAGCCAAACCAAAATTATTATAACAAGCTAACAACCTACCTCACCAACCTGTTTATATATATATATATATATATATATATATATATATATATATATATATATATATATATATATATATATATTACTATTACACACACACACACACACACACACACACAGAGAGAGAGAGAGAGAGAGAGAGAGAGAGAGAGAGAGAGAGAGAGAGAGAGAGAGAGAGAATGTGTCATTGTTGTACCAGGTAAGGGTAAACAAAGACATATACTTTGATTAGTGTAGCGATTTCTGTTTGAAAAAGAAATCTTGCATGGAATAAATCAGGGAACAGAGGGTACTCTTAACAATCACGTGCCGTTTCCACAGTGGTAATTGGCTACAACTGATATCCAGTTCTCCCTGCCTCTCCTTCACAGTTGTACAGTATCTCAAACTGCTCTTTAATGTTTTTTTTTGACATCCTACTTGTTACAATATCTAAGCTATGGCTAGCCCGTCTTCAGCTTGTCATAATTTCTTCCACATGAGTAAAGCATGGTGTAGCACTATGCTGCATTAGAGGCCGAGATAGGAGACATTATAACCAACTTCTCATGGGAACAATTAGTAGAAGTACCTTGTAGTGGCTGCTGCATTGGAAGACTGAGTACTCAGGGATATACCCAATGTGCAGTGACGTCGATTGTGATAACATAACATTATTTCTTCAAATGAGGTTGAAGTGTGTCATTTGCAGAGGATGGATGCTGAATATTCTTGAGGCATGGCATCGACCTCGAGTGCTGGAGGTTCAAGTCCCAGCAAACGCTAGGGTATTTTCTTGTGGACTTCTAGTAATTTCCCCTGGTCTCTGGGTAGTAAGATCGGACGTTCGCGTACGTACAAAATCTCTTGGCAGTTGGAAATCGAACAATAGTAGCCTAACGGCGCTGCCCGGGCAAAATTTAAAGTTAAATATCTACCTAAAGTATTTATTTCAGGATCCTCGGCGGTGCAACGGAGTTCGTGCACTGAGCTGAGATTGTCAGACTCAAGCATGAGTAAGGAGAACGGAGAAAACATAATTGAAAGCTTAATGACGTCTGCTGTCAGTGACTACCATATACTAATATAGTAATAATATGGGGATAGTAGTAGCTATAGTAATGATGATCACAATGACGATATTGAAGAAAATGAATAGGACGATGCAACTATCGCCAATAAAATAAGTCTTTTTGAAAACTGTTTTCTCAAACTCGTCCTTTTTTTTCCCTAGCACGCTATTTGCAAAGCTGCGGTCGGGAAATAATTTTTTTTTACGCGACACGTCAAAATGAAATGCTGTATCCAAAAACAGGCGCAGAATTTAATCAGTAGCGGGGGATTCTCTCAGGCCATTCGAATAACTTGAGAAATATACCCGCACCCAGTGGCGCAGATACTAAGAGCTCCCATAGAAGGAAAAAGGGGGGGGGGAGGCTTAGTCATCTTATTAGTTTCTACGCGTGGGAAAGGGAGAGGGACCTAAGACTTGTGTATTGTGTTTTTAGATAATAATAATGATGCTGATAATAATAATAATAATAATAATAATAATGTTAATAATAATAATAATAATAATGTTAATAATAATAATGTGCTGAATAGCAAATAATTTTAACACATTAAAATATTAGAAAATCAGTAAATAAATACTAATTTAACAGGGGAAAAAAGTTTATACATGGCTGTGGGAGGTGGGACTTTGTTCTCCTAATTCTTTTTCTAGAGGATTCAGGGCCTAAAGTGCTTGGAGAGACTCAGCTCCGCCCCTACTCCATTATTTGTATGTGGGGGTTGGGGGGGGGGGAAGTGGGGGTAAGGTGCATGAGCTCCTAGATCCAGCGCCTCTGCCCATAGCTTTCGATGAATATTTAAACAAGTCGAGTAGAAGGAAACAGATACTGGACAAGGTAATGGGCAGCAGAAATACTGAAGATCAAAAGAACACAGTAATTCAAAGATGTCTCCTGCAGATGACTCCAGGGCTTTGCTCAAAGAACTATGATTGGTTTAACGAGGAAAGATCGACTTAGGAACGATGGTATCAGGAGGAGAATCAGCACAGAACCAAAACCGAACTTTATATATTAGACAACAGGTAGACAACAGATCAAATGGTTTGGTCATGTAACAAGACTGACACCAGACAGGCACCATAGACAGCAATGTTATAAATATACAGCGGTAACATAGCTAGAGGTCGACCACACAGATAATGGACCTCAGAAGTATCAGAGACACTGAAAAGTACTTTATACGAAGCGAACAGAAGGGCCCGTCCCAAAGATCTTTTCCTGCCGTGACGCCGCGGGGTATTCAAGGAGGAGAGTAAAGAAGAAGAAGAAGATAACACTATGCCTCAAAGTAATCCAGTCGTTCTGTGTCAAAGATTCCCAAGCTCCTGTTAAAGGTATGTGCGGATCCTATTCAAGACATCATCATGTTGGCTTTTGTCATGTTACCAGGCAAGTTTCTGTAGTTTCCCGTCGCACTGAACGGTAGGCGGTAGACTGTCGAAAAGGGGAGAGGGAAGGAGGGGGGAGGGAGAGCAGGTGACTGTAGGTCAACCTGATGACTATACGCGCTGAATGCAACATAAAATGTGACTTAAAAGCTCAACGCAGGGAATGGAAAAGACGCACACAAATGCATCCAAACGTTTTGATCAAAGTCTTCATCAACGGCGTACTAATTGGAACGCATTTGTCGAAATAAAAAAAAAAAAAAATCAATGAGAATGATGAGATGATACAAGAAAGAATATATTTTAAAAACAGGTTGAGGAATTGCCCGGAATTAATATTTATGGAAGAGCAATAAACAATCTGAGATAAGCTGGTGACACAGTGTTGTCAGCAGGAGTTACAAGAACTAGTTGACCAAGTCAACAGTGAGAGTACAGAGTATGGTTTAGACATTATTATTCAAAAAACAAAAATTGTGGTAATTAACAATGGAAAGTCTTACAGGTCATCAAAGAAAAACAAATGAAGTGGTTTTGGACACCTGACAAGAATGCCCTGGTACTATCCGCCACAGCGAGCCACACTAAAACGTTACAACGGGTATAGCGCGTGTGGAAGACCTCGGAAAATATGGAGTAATGACATTAAAAACAGCCTTACAGAAATGAAAATCAGTCTTAATAGTGCTCTTGACAGAGCTCATCAACGAACATTACTTCTCCCCCCGACACTTCGATGAGGTACAAGGTGGAAGAAGAAGAAGAAGAACAATCGAAAAGAGCGACCGACAGTGAACATCACAGTAAACGGAGAGCTATTAGAACAAGTAACAAGTGTTATCCTATTAAAGACACGTAGAAACAGATGATGGAAGAAGTGAAACAGAAATCAAAAAGAGAATAGGAATGACTAGAACTGTCTTAAAAAAGATTCCTTAGTTATCGACATCTAGAGAAATAAACAACACACTAAATTGAGAAGCGTCAAATGATATGTATACTCAGTCGTGCTGTATGGTGCAGAAACTTGGACAACGAAGAACGACTAGAAAATCGAATTGAGTCTCTAGAGATATGGGTATACGGAATAATAGGTCGCATTTCTTGTAAGCAAAAACAATCAAGTACGGAGGTTCTGGAAAGGCTACAAATGAAAAGAGAATTACTGAAAGAAATAAACAAGAGAGAACTTAAATGCTCTGGCCACATTAAAAGACATCACACATTTTAAAAAACCATTTTGGAGGGAAAGGCTGAAGGCAAGAGAGCAAGAGGTAGGCAGCGATACAAGTGGGAGGACACCATCAAGAAACGGACGGGCAGCAGTCATAGAGCGTGTACAGCCAGGTCAAGAGATAGCGTGGTGGAGATCCATTGCTGCCAACCTTTCTCTGTGGAGACGGCACCTGCTTGATTGATGATTGGAAAGATATAGTGGCGATTGAAGGACTTGTGGGGAAAAAGAGGG